GGGATCCTGACTCCTTACTTCTAGTTCAGTGTGTTCTCCACTGTTGGAAGGGGGCCACTGAACATAGCTAAACCGTGTGAAAATCACAGTATCTATTTGAGATTGTAGAAATGTGATTACTGCAGAGCTCTGTCTGGGCCAGATCCCCTTGTTATTCTTCATTGCGTTGTAGTCTTCTTCCTTAGGAGGAATAATGATCCTTTGAGAATCTAGACTCTGGCCTTGACTTTTTAAAGAAGCATGAATTACCTTGGGAGCTGACACGTTCTTCTGGGAACTACAGGAGCTTGAAGGAGGTTGTCTTAGGCCTGTGGTTTGTCTGTTAACTCAGCACATTCTGAGCCCCTGAATGTACATGTGGCTTGTCCCTCATACCGTGCTGGATGGCCAGATGATGAGGGTTTAATGGTTGATAACAAGAGAGGTTATTTCTGTGGTTGCCCTGGGCCAAGAATGCTAGACGGCCCAAATGCTAGACGGGCTGTTTCCAGACTTTAGTGGGGTGTTATTTATCCTAAGACCCTGGCGTCTCATGAAAGGAAAGCTGGCTATTTGCTGTCGCGCATGTAGTTCTTGGACATTCTATCCTTTGAAAAGGGGAGTCCTAAGGATAGTATTATTTAGATGGTTTCGAAAACAAAATGTATAAGTTAATTTTGGTAGTAACTAGATGACTGAAAGAAAATTTGAAAATTCTTTAAAGTGCATACAAGCCTATAAGTTGAAAAGGACCTTAGACCTGCAGTAGGTAGGAGACACTGAGGCACTAGCACCTACCATCCTTTAGCTTTGTGACTTTGGACAGGTGATTATTGCTTCTTTCTGAGTCTCAGTGTACGACGTATTATCAAGTGAGTAGGCTGTACAGCTAGATGAATTCCAAGGCCTCCTTCCAAGTGTATTTCTTCTAATCTTCTTAATTCAGGTAATGCTTCAACAGCAAAAGCAGTATGTGATTCGGAGAAGTCTGAGATGTTTGTGGGGAGAATTTGGGGGAACATCAGAAATGGAAGCAGTTAAAGGGTAGTAGGGCTCTAATAGACTCTAGGTCCCGGACCTGTGGTATTGTTGAATTACTCAGAGAGGGCTCCCATTAGGGTGTAGGGCTCTGCCTCCCATATAAAAACCAGTAAAGGTTGACTGTTTCTATTGAAGTCATTTTCTTTCCTGGATGTAAATATGTATGTATTGATCAAAACTTGACTCTTCTTTCTACAAACATATATCGAGTTCCTTCAATGCATCAGGCACCAACGTGAAGAAAAACTTCCTGTGAACACTCAAGGAAATTCACAGTTTAGTTGGAGGAAAACAATATAAGCAATTCAAGTAGAGTTTAGGATGTTGGAGGCTGAGAATAGAATATCCTGGATTTCCTTCACCCTCAGGGAGGGATATGAATCAACAGTTATCTGGAGAAGGGGAAAACAGTGCCCCTGGTAATATTTTGAAAGCATAATGTTCTTTCGAATACTTTCCTCTATAAGGAAGGCAGTTAATAAATTACTAAATTTGGATTTTATTAAAGAGAATAAAGGCAGTGTTCTCTTAATGTACGATGAGTTTTTTGAATTGTAATATTGCCTGTTCACTAATCTTATTTTATGTGCATAGGGGAGTGCTCACCTTTCAGATATTTTGGTAACTAATATTAATAAAGTTAATAATGTACCAACTTTGTATAACTGCATTTAATATGAATGTCTTGGATTCGGTACAAGCATATCTCCATGTAGAATTTGTATCAATGGCAGAGTGAATGAAGCTATAATAGAGATATTAAAATTATGTGCATTTCTTTCTGGAATTGTAACAAGTAAAGTCCAAGTTTTGTTACATGCATATCATATTTTCTTACATGCATTTATTTCTTTGATCACACATATTGAAGAAACACATAGAAAAGATAATATTCTCCATATCAATTACCTCATAATACAACATTTTTCCCTCTTTTGAAATAGCAACTATATTCGTAGCATGTGGTTCTTAAATAAATACATCCAGGTATTAAATAAAGTTATTTTCTTTTCCCTTCCTCCCTACCTCCTTCCATGTTCTTTTCATGTTCTTCTCTCCTCTCTTTAACACTTTTCAGGGAACCTTGGCTGTACTTCTGTTACCCCATTACCCTTAGAACCAGTCTATTTTTAATTTCACTATCTCTATCTGCCTTATATCTTTACTTCCTCATTGATCACCTTAAATTTTGTATCTATCATTATAATTACTCTCTTAACTTTTGGGCATTGTATTTTGCCTCCTCAACCCTGGTTAAATCTAAATCTCTACAATACACCATACCTGAGCTGTTCTCAGGATTAGTTCCACCCAACAAATTGCTTTAGAACATGCGGCTCTAGAGATATTGAAAAACTCAGCTTACTTGTAACCCTCCAGTCCCTCCATAGCTTCCTCTCAATCTGATGGCTCAGAATGTTGCACACATAAATCAATTTTTCATTATCAAAATACTGTCAAATGCTTTGCAGAAGTTAGAAGTTTTTTGTTCCTTTTTTTTTCTTTTTCCTTCTCTTAAAATATCCTCAAGGAAAGCCCCAGATAGTAACATTTGTCTTTTGATGAGAAAGTTGCAATCTTAACCTTTGCCTGTAATGTCAATAATGTTTGTCAGTTGATTCTTCTTTATCGTGCTCGTCCTTATGAGCAACAAGGGCAACACGCAATATGAATACATTAACGTATCTCAGCCACTTAGCTTGTTCTGTGTTTCTCTGTGAGTGCTTCAAAGGTCTCTTGGGTTATATGTCTTTGTTCTCCCATCACCAGCATCTTGTGGAAGCTGCTACTCATTTGCTTCTATGGGGATGATGGAAGCAAGAATCCGTATACTAACCAACAATACTCAGACCCCAATCTTGAGTCCTCAGGAGGTGGTGTCTTGCAGCCAGTATGCTCAAGGTAAGTGTTATATTTCAGGCCCTGTTTACCTGTGTGTAGCTAGCCATTGTTGGCAAGAGGTGAAAGGATGGTGTAGTAGAGAGAACACAATGTCTGTAGTCAGAAAACCCTGGTGCAAGTTCTGGCCCTGTCTCTCATTAATGAGTGGTGCTTTCTCATGGGATTCATTGCACCATCCACAAAATGTCAGTAGTTACTATACATCGAATGAGCACTGGCTCTTAGGAGCCCCTTATAGATATTACCCAACTGCTTAAAACCTTGAAAGAGTAGATATTATCTCTGATTTATAGACAGGGAACATACATGAAGTAGTTTTATAATATTTTGAAGGACGCACAGCTTCTAAGCATTAGAGTTTCATTTCAAACTAAGGTCTCGCTCCAAAACCTAAATCTTATTAAAACCATACTAACACTGGTTTCTCTTTAGGAGAATTTTTAAATTTTATATGTAGGTTTTCAGAACAGGGCATATGTAATGTATGTGGCAAGCCCAGCTGTCACTGATTCAGGGAGAAACCTTTCCTTTCTGATGTTTTCTGCTGTCAACCCCGGTTTGGCCACTAGAAAGCTTCTCAGTTTACCGGTGAAATGGCTGGTGAATGATTATTTGTCAGTGAGCCTTTCATTCTTTCTGAAATCCTTATTAAATAACACTGACATTGTGACTTTGAGGCCCTGAGGACTGTGATGTATCACGACAGTCCTTCCTCTCATGAAAAGCACTGTTTGGCGTCTGAGGGTCTAATAATGACAACAATAACAAAACAAACTTTTGTTGTGCGTACATGAAGTCACTAATTTAATCCTACCAGGAAGACACTATTGCTATCTTCATTTTACAGATAAGTAAACAGCAGTGCAGAGAAATTCTTCACACAGTTTTGGATTTAAACCTACATCATCAGGCTTCAGAGCCTCCCACTTAATGCCTCTGCTGAATAAATGTCTGTTTAAATAGATGGGAATGAGAGGAGACCTAGCTGGGTGGCTAATGGATGGATGGATGAAATGACATTTAAGCCAAGAACAGCTTCCAGGGTACCATAAACAATTAATGGAGTAGAAAAGAAAGAATAGGAACTGGGATCATTTCTCCTGTGCCCCTTTCTAGAACAGGGGTAATACCTCTGTGTTATTCCTCCTCAGGCTGTCAAGGTGGCTTCCCATACCTCATCGCGGGAAAGTACGCCCAAGATTTTGGGCTGGTGGAAGAGGCCTGCTTCCCCTACACAGGCTCGGATTCTCCATGCAAACTGACGGACTGTTTTCGTTATTACTCATCCGAGTACCACTATGTGGGAGGGTTCTATGGGGGCTGCAATGAAGCCCTGATGAAGCTCGAGCTGGTCCATCATGGGCCCATGGCAGTTGCCTTTGAAGTCTATGACGACTTCCTCCACTACCGCAAGGGGATCTACCACCACACTGGTCTCCAAGACCCTTTTAACCCCTTTGAGCTGACTAATCACGCTGTTCTGCTGGTGGGCTATGGCACTGATCCAGCCTCTGGGCTAGATTACTGGATTATTAAAAACAGCTGGGGCACCAGCTGGGGAGAGGATGGTTACTTCCGGATCCGCAGAGGAACCGACGAGTGTGCAGTTGAAAGCATAGCAATGGCGGCCACACCAATCCCTAAATTGTAAGAGGTACCTCCCAGCACTTCATATTGACCACCATCAGTCACGGACGGGGATGATTTATTCACTGATTAGAGACTTTTACAGCAGTAATTTCAGAATATTACAAATAGGTTCCTGTGAAGATTTTTGCCTTTGAAATTACAACCACTCTTGCTTTTAATACACCTTCCCATCAACCACGCCTACTTTTTCCAAAGTATTCACATAAATCAAGTTTTCACAGATGATTGTGAGCTATGCAGTAATGGATTTTGCGAATCATTTCTAATTCAAACATGCCATATATTTTTTTGAAAATCTGTATGAAAATCACAAGAAAATATGACAATTATTATTAAATTTTTAGAAACTTTTTTTTTTGTAAATGATCGGGTGATGTTTATTATAGAATTTATATGTGTGCATTAGAGAATTTTACCACCTAACTAATCTTTCTGTTAGATTCATATTCACTCGTGTCACTTAATGTAAGTACTTTCAGAAAGAAAAGCATTTGAAAGTATTTCCATTAAAAACAAAAAACGATGAAACTTTCTGATAGGATATATGTTTGAATAATGATTAGTGAATGCTAAAATCATTTCCCGGATAGCTGATGAGCCAAAGGCCACAGAGAAAAGAAATAGGAGTTTTGATAAAAATCTGGATATTGGTTAACTTTCTTATGGTGCATCTTGCATTTGGAAGTATTGGTTAGCCTTCATTGGGTGAGAAGTAATAGCTTCATTAGCAGAGTATTAGCAGTTTAGATTTGGACAGATTTTTGGGTCTCCCAAGAGAGAGATTTCACAGCGATATAAATCCTTTATGCTGAATAGATAGCATCTATTAGAAATGACAGATTAGGCAAAATTAAGCACCCAGAGCTCAAAAACATAAACAAGAACCACAAGTCTTTTGGAGCTGGAGGAGACCATAGAGATCATGCAATCTAACCTCTTTGCACAGAAACAGAGACTAAGGCTTAGAAAGAGGGCGAGTAATTCACCCGAGGTCACACAGGTGGTAAGTGATGGAGTCATGATTAGAACTTAGATCTTGTAAGTCCTGTTCTCCTTGAGCACCTTAGACACTGAATCTCAGCACTTTCCACCAGAGTGTCCAAAATCACCAGTGATACTAGGTAGGTGCATACTTGGAAGTTTCACCTTGACATTCTCAGAGTTTTGTCTTAAACCTCATGTACTTTTTGCATTGCAGTCCACTACAATGATATTTTTACTCCCCTTGAACTGAAGATGCATTCCAGGAATATGTTCCATATTTAAGGTGTGGCTTCTTGGGCCTCCTGGCACACTGAGACATACCTTTGAGCTTTTCACCACGTGGTAACATAGAAGCAGACACTCTTAAATGGCAGGCATAGCCAGGAGGGCCCTGATCATCTGGAAGACCTTCAAGGAGGTGTATTTTCTTTGTTATTGTTACTGATTGAATATAATTTTATTATTTTTTTTATTTTTACTTTTTTTTTAGCTGAGCCATTGTTAGCAGCTCAGCGGCAGCTCAGCTCGGGCCGGGAATCAAACCGGCAACCCTGTTACTCAGAGCTCACATTCTTAAGCAAGCTCTTAATCAACTGAGCCACTCGGCCGGCCCCTGAATATAATTTTAGTCCTTTATACCTGCCTAGCCTTGTTGCTATGTGAAAGTGTAAAAAGACTTTAAAATCAAGCATGAATTTATTTTTCACTAAACTACATAAAGGTACTACTTGTCAGTCTAACAGATAAAATTTTATTTAACATGTACACATGAGTTTATCCTGGGTTTTTCTATTGGTCAGCCGTCAGTGGACGCATATGAGAACAAGTCATGAAAATTCAGAGCACCCATGCTTTTGCACAGTTTTCTGAGGGCCCTGGCTGAGCACTGAAGGACAATTATATTGCTGGTATCATTCATTAACTACTTCAGAAAATATTGAAAAGCTAAATATAGGTGTGAACCTAACTGACAATGGGAAGCAGCTCTCACAAGCATGATTACTTGAGGACAAGTGATAAGGTTTGAAGAGGCCCTAAGTCTTCAGAGATTAAAAGAAGGATAGCCCAAAATGGGAGCTCAAGTTACCCTGCACTTCAACCTGCATTTACCTGCTATGGGAGTTTGCTTTTCCTATTTCTATACTATAGAAAGATCTCTTATTTCATCGATGGTGGAGGAATTAAAGACAATAACTAAATGGGACGTCATGGTTCTTCAAGCCATGGGATAGTGTTAAGCTGTACAAAAAGCAGCAAGTTTTATTATCTAAAACTTGTTTATGTTGGTGTTGATAGAACATATAATCAAAGTCTGTTGACCAATTGAACTCTGGAAAAAACAGAAGGGAACTCTGGCTAACCTCCCCAAAGACATTTTCAGAAAAACTACAGTGAAAGTATCCATGGAGGACACCACCAGCCACACACAGAAACTAAGTTTAGTCAGAGAGTCTAGCATAAGCCATGATACTGACTTTGGTGCTTTACTGCCTGGACCAGATCTCTGGCTCTGCCACTTACTAGCTATGAAATCTTGGGCGGTTTTCTTAAACTACCTGTGCTTCAGTTTCCCCATCTGTAAAATGGAGATAATGAAATAGATATCTCTCACTGAGCTCACCCTCCCTAAACCCTTGCTATATTACAGCAGCAAAGGAACCAAATGGATTTGTACTTTTGAATGACATTATTTGCTTTATATAAGGTCAGACCTTTCATCACCATCCCGAGTGGATGAACTGAACTAAATTCAGATAATGAAGTTTGCCAAACCATCCAAACTTGCCCTGTGAACTCGATCCCACCTCTTACCACTGAAATTAGTGGATTCGGATAAGAAGGGATCCGCCTACCTACTTCATAGCGTTCTCTGAGAAAAGCCTGTTTTTCCCTT